CTGGCAACAGCAGACAGCAGAACAGAATCCATTCATCTGTTAAGTGTGTTCCTGTCTTCTCTTTCCATCTTCATTGTCCTCTACCAGCCAGGAAATTGCCTGGTTGCTTCCTTCTGGAGGGCTCAGAGAGAACATTTGTTTCATGTCCTTCTCTGGTGGTGGCTGGCTGTTCACAGTGTCCCTGGGCAAATGGAGTCATCGTGTGCAGCTCAGCCTCTGTCCTTGTTAGGACAATGTCAGTCACTTTGGATTGGGATCTGCATTATTCCACTATGACCTCTTTTTAACTGGTACAAAACCTGATTTGCAAGTGAAGCCACATTCTGTGCTTTCTGGGTATTCAGATTCCCACTTGCCTTCTTGGGCACACAGCTCAACCATCACACTTGCATCTTTCACTACTGTTTTCTGCCTAGCAAGTGGTTTACCCAAGACAGCGGAAGTGGGAGTCCTCTGCACAAGGTACACACAGCAGGGGAAAACTGTCAGTGAAGAAGGTAAAAGCATAATACAAGCGACTACAGGATAGTCTGCTTTATAATTGTCAACTTGGGCCAGCAGTTTAAACAGTCCCAGTTGATAAAAATCTTCCTCCCTGAACCTGTTTGTTGATTCAAACAACTGTGTGTGTGTGTGTGGTGATTTTAAAAATTAACCCTCCAGTTCTCTTCAAGATTGGAGCCCAATTCTCCCCTGGATTCACACTGGAGTTAATATTTGTCATGGGTAGCTGAAAACGTTAACTCATACATGATACAGTCACAGAATTTGAACGCTGCTGTTAAGTGGGAATTTATTCTTTTTACTTGTTTCGAAACTATTGAAAGAACTAAGACAGCTGAAATAGAGCCTAAAACTGAAAATAGCAATAATAATTATTGAAAATAATGTTTGTAGCTAATGGAGTATGAAAAAAGCGATATGTTAGGTAGCATGCCACTGCCCTAACAGCATTTAAGCTTGGGGCTTAGGATGCTGTGAAGTATTTTAATAGGAGTTTTCAAAGTGTAAACAAGACTTCATTGTAGCTGTTTTTGATGTCAGAATTAGATCACAACAAAGTGAAATTTCCCTAAGCTGATCAGACAAATTCAACAAAGGTTCTTGAGCAGCACTATGAGGGTTCTTCCAAGAACTAACAGAGGGGTGTGCATCTAGGACGTGCCTACAGCACCTGCATCCCACTTCAGAGTATCCGGGTTCAATTCCCAGCCTCAGCTTCTGGTTTCAGCTCCTTGCTAATGCTGAACCTGGGAGTGTGTTTTCCACAGCAGGTTTTTTCTCTACTGAGGCCTCTCCTGTTGGCTTCCCAATGTTTTTCTTCTCCCATATCCTTCCTTCTGGGTTCAGGTGCCACTGGATCTTGTCTTCTTCCAGGGACACTAGTTCTCTCACATCAGGACCCACCTTCAGGACCTCGATTGACTCTAAGCACCTCTTAACAGCCCACCAAACACAGTCACATGGAGGGATAAGCTTTTTTCCCCTAGGAAATCTGGGGAAGCTTCAATCAGAACACAGGGGGTGTTGCACTACGCTGCCTCACTGTGCACCTATAATACCACTACTGCCTAAATGTGGCTTGTTCCCACATGTCTTGAGCTGTGAATCTTCACAGTGGTGGTGTGGGAGAAGTGGCGCCTCATGGGAGAAGGTTGTGTCATGAACAGATGCAGGCTGTGCAATGAGAGTGACTTCTCATTCTCGCTGTCGTTGTGGTAGTTACCATGAATCAGGTCTCTTCTCCAGGTGTCTGCTTCCCCTTCTGGTTTTCGTTTCGTTTCATTTTGTTTTTTCACCATGAAGGAAAGCAGCATATGATCCTCACCAAATGCAACTGCTCTATCTTGGACTTCTTAGCTTCCAGAGCCATTAACTAAAATAAGCCCCCTTTGTTTATAAACTACCCGGTCTCATTCTGTCACAGCAATAGAAAATAGACTAAGGCAGAGAGAACTGCCAATGAGGAAATGGTTAAACAATCCTCAGGTGGATATCAAAATGCAAAAATGCTCAAAACCATTGCAGAAAATGGTGTGGTATTTGCATAGAACCTGCATACATCCTTCCAGGGCATGCACATCTCCCCTAGATTACTTATTACTTGTAATTCTTAATGCAATGTAAAATGCAATGTACATAATTATTATACTCTGTTCAGGAAATAATGACCAAAAAAGTTAGCCTGTATATGTTCAGGACAGGTGCACAGATTCTTTTCCAAGCACTTAGAATTCATGGTTGGTTGGAGTCACGGGTGCAGAACCTGCAGTTAGAGAGGGCCGAACGTACTGTAACATTCCAGTGCCAGGCAGGCTGTAAAGTATTCACATTTACTTTTTCCTCTAAGCCAGAGTTCCTAGCAATCAGCCATTCATTTACCAGAAGATTTAACATGTCTATGTGGCAAGTCTGGGATACAGAATTAATGATTTATACTAGGTTAAAAGGTGAGGAATTGGTGGAGAAGCAGGTTGGGCAAGAATACTGTATTCCAAAGCAAACATTTATCTGCAGTGATAAAAGGAGGAAGCAAAAAAAAACAATCAAAGGACCTGTTACATTTAGAGCCCAAAGAGACAAAGTCCTGGGTCAGGGGAAAGAACCCTAGGGCTGTCTTAACTCAGGAGGTGCCCACCACATTCAGGCCTTCCCTGAATTTGGGAGAACTAACTAATGGGGCCAGGACAACCAATGGGTGGTGCTGGCCATCAGAGGACAGAGGGGAAGGGCAGGGTAACCCTTCTCAAACATAATTTCTCTTCCAAACCTGCATGCTTCTGAGAGTGAAAGGGATGTGTGACGATTTGTGTCAAGAAAACAGGTGTATGTGGGAGACTGATATGGTGGGTCTCTATAATCGTGCAGGCTATTGCCAGGATGGCTCCTTGTAGAAGCATAGGGCAGCACTAGGAATGTACTTGTCCTCCTAACTTTTGAGTAATGAGCTTCCACATGGTGGCCACAGCATTTCTTTTCAGCCTTATTTGACCTTATTTGACATCAAATATTCCGTTCTCCCAGCAGCCCTAGAATGGCTACCACACTTGTCCTCTTTCTTGACTTTTGTTCCTTGAATGATGCTCCTCTTCTCTATGCCATTGGTTGCTTATGAGGGTATTTCCAACTATTTGTGGAAAAATGGAATTAAAAATAGATGTCAATAAAAGCATCCTTGTGATTTTTTTTTATAACATATTGCTCATGAACTTTGTTGAAGACCCCTTCATACGCATGGATCTCAAGTTTTTGTCGTACCAAAATGAACATAGGTTTTCTCTCTTTTAAATCTTTTATTCACTTACCACTTGTTTGAAATATAGACAGACATGACCAGAGATAGAGATCTTCTATCCACTGGCTCACTCCACAATGTCCACAATAGAAAGGGCGAGGCCAGGCTAAAGCCAGAAGGTTGTTAACTCCATCTGGGTCTCCCATGTGGGTGGCAGGAATCTAACTACTTGAGCCATCACCTGCTGTCTACCAGGGTTTCCATTAGCAGGAAGTGAATTGGAAGTAGAGTCAGAACTCAAACCTGGACACTCCGATATGGGACATCTCAAGGGGCATCTCAAGTTGCATCTTAATATTTCAAATGTCTTCCTCTGAACTCATCTTTTATTTCTTTATTCCACAAATTCTTGGGGGAGGACGTTCTTATATTTTAGCCCTTCAACAGTCAAAATTCAGAACTTTGTAATGAATGCTTGTTGATCAACTCATGCAGAACTGAAACTAACTACCAGGATCCATGCCTTGGCACTGGCAGCATTTCCTCTTAAGATGTAACACTGCATCTGCAAAACACATCTAGTGGAATATTCTATTAAGCAGGAATAATCCCCACAATGCATGACAGAAGCATGCATTGACCTGACAGAGAGTAAGGTATCAGAGGAGTCAGATGTCATACTTTACTGGAAGCAACTGTCCTTGAGGCCCAAATGTTAGAAAATGTTATCAGTAAATTGCACATTTCGAAAACTTAAAGAAGGAGGCTAGGGCTGATGAGTTCCTCTCTTCTCCACGCTCCTTATCACGTGCACATGTTCTTAACCTTGTTGTCAGAGCTTGAATTTTGTTCATTTCTCCTTCTTCACCAGCCCTGGACTTCAAGGCCATGGCCCTGCATCCCCAGTTCCAGAAGCTGAGTTGTTAGTCTTATCCAATCACTGTGCTCCTGTTTGGATTAGCTTAATGATGACATCTGATGTCATCCTGAACTATGGAGTGTGTAGGGCAGGATGTTTCAGAGCTAAAAGGAGACACAGAAACATACCCATCTCTCTCTCTCTCTCTCTCTCTCTCTCTCTCTCTCTCTCCTGCAGAAGTTTTATGGTGAAGCTTAAAGCTGCTGCTGCATCTTGTGATCACAAGGAGAGCGAGTACTAGATAAACAAGCAGCTGAGAATGCAGGGCAAAGTGGGAAGAGCCTAGATCTCTGAGTGAATTGTGCTGCTGAGCTGTGTAGCCTGCAGCGCATTTTTCTCTGGAACTGTTGCTTATGCCTTGAAATAACGGGCACAGCTCGATTCCCATTTGTGCCATGATTTCCAATGTGCGTGTAGCTCTGTTTCTTGTTTCCACTGGCTTTGCTCATGGAGCTTGGATGTCTGATTTGAAAAAGGGTGCAAAGGGTGCTGCCCCTGAAAAAAATATTTGGTGACTCAGTCAAACTCAAGCCATTCCATTAAAGGCCTTGTCTCAAATACACTCATGGGGGTATGGATCTCAATATAGGAGTTTCGAGGAAACACAACTCAGTTCACAACAGGATACAAGAGTCCCAGTCCCAGACCCCTTGCCTCAATGCAGAACCACTCCAGAAGGCCCTCCTGGGTTCCAGAGCTTCACAGAGACCTGCAAGGACTCAGCTCCCCCTCCTGTTTGTTTCGCTCCTCTGAAAGCCACCTAAGCCCACGCCTTAGGACATTCCCTACATACAGATTTCTGTCTCAAAGTCATCTCCAGATCCATTTTTTCTCTCCACCTTTCAGATTTTTCCTCCTAGAAAGAATAGTTGGAGAGCATCTCAAAGACATGACCCTGGCAATTACAGTTCCTTCAGGCTGCATGACCTCCTGAGGTATAGTGGCTGGCTCTTTAGTGGGAAGGGCAAGTGTGGAATTTGGGTGAGGAAAAGGGGTTTCCTGGAGTGTTTCTTTTTCTTCTTTTAAGAAAATTTATTTACTTACATGAACTGCAGAATAGCAGAGACAGAAGGAGAGACACAGAAAGACAGACCTTCCATCTGCTGCTTCACTCCCCGAAATGGTGCAATGAAGCTGAACCTGGATCACTGTAGCCAAGAGCCTGGAACTCCATCTGAGTCACCTATGTGGGCAATAGGGACCCAAACACTTGGGCTGTCATCTGCTGACGTCATGGGTGCATTATCAGGGAGCTGAATTGGAAGAAACCAACTGGAACTCAAACCAGCAGACCAACATGGGATACTGCTGTTGTGAACAGCAACTTAATCCATTGCACCACAACACTGATCCCTGATGAAGTAGTTTCTAGTGGCTATTACAGAGCAGTTGTCAGGGCTAACTCACTGTCACCTCATGGCTCTCCCTTGAACAGTCAAAGGGCCTAGAGGCTCACATAAAAGTGAAACTTACTTGGCAAGCATCCAATTCTGTTATTAAATCTGAACTTCTTCCTTATTTGAGCTCCCAGCACCTCCAGTTTCATTTTCTCCCTGTTTGCTCCTTATGCACAAATGAAGAAAGATTTGGGGATTACTATAACTAGAAATGGAGTTTACAATGGGGTGAGTTTAGCTGAGAATCTATTCTGTTGAACTTCTGTTGTATGCGGAGTGTTCTGCCACGCGGAATACAGGAAAAGCAGAAGAGAAGCCTTTACTCTAAAGTTCTTACAGAGCAGATGGAGATGAGTCATTCTCAGATGGAAGCTTTTCCTGGCCAGGGGAGACACACCCTGAAGGGAGGCCAGTGGCCCCTTTAGGGAGGATCTGGCAATGGCCGCCTTGCTTTGTGAACTCCAGATCCTCTGATCAAAGTTGACTCCAACCTTTGAAATCCCAGTATCACTTCTTTAAAGATTTATTTTATTTTTTTATCGGAAAGGCAGATTTACAGAGAAGGAGATGCACAGAGAAAGATCTTCTGTTCACTGGTACATTCCCCAAGTGGCCACAATGCTTGGAACTGAGCTGATTCAGAGACAGGAGCCAGGAGCTTCTAGATCTCCCATGTGGATGCAGGGTCCCAAGGCTTTGAACCATCCTCTTCTGCTTTCCCAGGTCACAAGGGAAGTGGAGCAGCCGGGACACAAATCAGCACCCATTTGGGATCCTAGCCACATGCCGGTCAAGGATTAAGCCACTGAGCCATCACTCTACTTCCCCAATTACTGCTCTTCATCTCATCATTAACATCAGCTAACGAGCCTTAACACTTTGTCTTGACTGCGATACTTAATCTTGATGCGATTGAGAATCTCCAGCTGCCTTGGCTTGAGTTCCACTCCTCAATAGTGGTACAGACAATGACTTGGAAACCTTTGACAATATCATCATATTTGCAATATTGATACAAAAAAGGAGTAACACATGTCTCAGATACTCTTTCTGTACCAGTAACTGCTACTGTTCACAGAAACTCAACAAATGTTGGTATATTTATGCCTGTCCTGTTTCTTCTAGGAGTCCTATGAAGAAAAATTACCTTGAGCCAAATATGTAGCTTAGGTAGTAAGAGCAAGAAGCTCTCAGAGACTGAGAAGGAGACTTCCATGAAGTCAGAGAGAACAGCATCAGCACGCAGCTCTCAGATCCATTTCCTGCCTCCCATCAGCTCCTGGTGAATTGTACAAGAGCAGTGTCTTTGCCCTTACCTGGGAGTGTCATCTACAGTAGAATCTCCAGGGAGAGCTAAGCACCAATTAGACCACGGGAGACTAGATGTGAATTTGGGGGGCTGTTCTGAGACCAAAACTCTGGAAGATGTCACTAGGTAATACCAGGACCCAGGGGGCTTTCATCACAGTCTCTGTTCCAGGCTCCAGGCTGTGAGGCATGGGAACATTCTAGAAGCCCACTGTGAGATTCTTATAGAAATCAGAGGGGAGATTTGGAACTGAAGTCAGTATATGACATAAAGAAGTTCTATAAAGACCAGAAGGCATCTCTTTTACTCAGGGGTCACTGAAGTAACGCCAGTTCTGTCTTGGGTTTTGTGGACTATTTTTTCTCTGCGAACTCAAGGCTGGTTAGTTGGTTATATACTTGTAGGTCCAGAACCTCCTGAGACATGCTGATTTCAACCAGAACCCTTCAATCTAATTCCATTGCTCCAGAAGTCAACACCAGCATTCCTGAACATTCTTTTCTACACAGTGTTTGAACCTTTAGTTGCAATGGAGTTACTCCAGACCTTGGATAATTTCCTACTCAGGAGAAAATAAGATTAATTCACACTTAGTTCTTTTTCATGATTTGTATTTGTCTGCTTGTCTTATGTTATAAAGAACTATTTTCTTTAAAATTTGGGGAAAGTGGATACTTTTTAACCTTTAAGGGAAAATACTTTTTTTTTTTTTTTAAGATTTGTTCATTTTTATTGGAAAGGCAGATATACAGAAAGGAAGAGAGACAGAGAGGAAGATCTCCCATCCGATGGTTCACTTTCCAAGTGGCCACAATGGCTGGTCTGAGCCAATCTGAAGCCAGGAGCCAGGAGCTCTTCCAGGTCTCCCACACAGGTGCAGGGGCCCAAGGCTTTGGGCCATCCTTGACTGCTTTCCCAGGCCACAAGCAGGGAGCTGGATGGGAAGTGGAGCTGCTGGGATTAGAACCGGCACCCATATGGGATCCCGGTGCGTGCAAGGGTAGGACTTTAGCCACTATGCTATCACTCCGGCCCCCAAAATAGCTTATTTTCAGCATTTAAAATGAATTTTCTGCAAAGGAGTGGAAACCATTCAATCAACATGCATGAAAATAGATTATATTTATATTTCAGAATTTTCTTCCAAAAACCCCTCCTAACAACAATTTGAGTTTAGATATAAATTGAACTGCATGTAGATACACATAAAGAACCAAATTAATCAGTGTACATAAAGATACAGCTCAAAATGTCTGATACATGTATGTATCAGAATGGAAGATGTTTGTTACTGTCGGGTATATGGCTACATATCTGTGTCACATGTAATAATAAAATTTAAGGAAACTATAGAATTGTGACATCAACGGTCAGTTTTGTCTAAGAAAAAACACAATGTGTGGCAGAATCCAGAAATATTTAAATGATGAATTTTAAATGATCAGTTTCCTTAACTGCAAATTTTAAGCTACATTTGAAGAAATGGACATGCATTTCTATGAACTCCTTGGAACAAGTACTTCCTTTAAGATCTGTTTCTCCCTTTAAATCTTGGGTTTCTAGCCTGTATGAGAAAGGAAACTATTTGGGGGCCTGGCTTTGACTTTTCTAAAGTTTTTCGTGTTCTTGCAGGAAAAGGGGAGAGGCTGGCAGAGAAAATCCCGAGATGCTGGATGATCTGTCAGCTTCTCCAATCCCTTGCAAAGAATCTCTCAAACAGAATGGATGGGACTCAAAGTGTTCATAGAACAATAGAATTAAACTATCATTTTAGATGTTCACTAGAATGTATACTTAGCAAAAACACTAGAGTTCGTAGTCGATATGATTTCCCTCTTTTACATGAAAACTTTTTATCTTAAATTTGCTTGAGGAGGAGAGAGACTTTGGAAAGAAGCTGCCCAAGTGCCTGCAACAGCCCTGGAGCTTGGGGGTGGGAAAGCAATCCTGGTCTCCCACTTGAGTGACAGAAACTCAACTGCTTGAGCATTTTCTTAAGCATCTGCTCTAGCAGGAAGCTGCAGTCAGAAGACAGAGCCACATATTAAACCCAGGCGCTCCGATACGGGCTGCAAGTATCTTTATCACTAGGTTAAACGCCTGCCCCTCTTCTTTTACATGTTAAGTACACACAAGATACCCAAGCCATCACGTTGTACAGCACAATGAAAATATTGCAAGTTCTGCTTCTTTGTCTTTACAATCATAGTTCTATTATCATTGATTTCAAATCTGCCTGTTAAAAACACAGTAACACGTGGCACCATAGGATTGGAGGAGGGCCCGAAGCAAGCATGAGTGATGTCTGTTAGTTCACAAAGCAGCTGCATGGAGATAAGTTCACGTAAGTCAAAGTAAGAGGATTCTCCAACTCAACTTTTATATGTAAAGAGAAGCTGTGGACTCTTGCACTGGCATGCCCGGGTGGCTCCCACATTTTGCAACGGGCTTGTGGAGGCCTGGGGGTGCAGGTTTACAAGGTACCTGTGAGATGGTGTTGGTGTGGTGTGTGGGGACCCTGGGGCTCATGTTCAGGCAGACAGAACTAGCCTGGAGAGTTCCCCACACACTTGATTCCGGGAGGGATGGGGGGATGCAAGGTGAGAGCCCTTGGTTAGCGTACTGGTCTGGTGTGCTGGTGGACTGGACTGGATCTTGGGTGTACGGAGGGGTAAGGCCCCAGGCCAGTACGCATGCTGGAAGCTTGGAACCCTAATGGGTAGGCAGAACTCCAGGCCAGCATACCACTGCATCACAAGACTGGGCTTTGGAAGTCTGGGCTTGGAGCCAATGTGATCCCAGGCACAGGGACTGTGGGTTGATCAGGGAAGAGGGAATGAGGATGTGTGGGAGGGAGGACCATTGGGGGAGTATGTTTCAGCTCAGGAATGACTACTGAGGGACTTCCATCAACAAGGCCACTGTACTTGCAGATAAGCACGGGGCTGAGACTGAGCAGTTTTAAGGAGCAGTTTCTAGAGGAGGACCTTCCTGAGTCAGAACAATGCACCATGGGAGACTTGAGCTGGACTAATTAGTATGGTCACTGTCAACTGCCACTCACCAATGCACACTAAAGCTATGGCTGGGGCCTTGCGTGGAGGGGCTAGATCATAGTACCCACCAGTAAGATAAGCATGAGAATTGGGACCAGGGACAGACCAGGGCTACAACTGTTGGCCTGTATGTGAACTGGAACAGGGGGAGAACTGGGCTGGGCTAGTCGACTGTGCCCATTGGTGACTGCATGATCCAGAGTAAGG